CACAAAACCCACATACCCAAATTTTCAGCAGATTATATCTCAGTGAGGTCCGTCCTGAGAAGAGTTCCGCCAGGGCCATGGTGTGATTTTGGATTGTTGGAACAAGCTGCTGCCCCTAGCTGTGCTTGGGCGGGCGCCGAGCTAACCTACTCCGCTCTGATTTACCCTGGTCTGTTCAGCCTTGCAAGGACCCGAGATTAACCTCAGCTTTTGATCTCTTACAAGCTTTATTGATGGGTCTCTGAAGCCAGACTGATAAATGAGTTTCCATAGTTAAGCAAGAGGTGGTTTGTGGACGTGCCTTTCATATACCTAACTTTCAGACATTAAATTTCTTGGGAAACTTGGTCCTGAGTTGTTGGGGTCTGACCAGAGGCACAACGGAAATTTTGGGGTATCAGGAAGCCTGAAGACACCGTCAGGCTGCTGATGCACTCACCCTGCCGGTACAGGTTGACCTACTGGCAGCACCGCACCCGCATAGATGTTATTTTATATACCAGAGATTATGACAACATCCAGTGTTCAACCTTGTGGGAGAGTCTTTTGTTTGCATCAGTGATGCTCAGGGGTTACTCCTGGCTCTGCACTGAGGAATCACTCCTGGTGGTGCTGGGGGACCAGATGGGATGCCGGGATTGAACCCAAGTTGGCTGCATGCAAGGCAAGTGCATCTGGCACCTAGGAGAGCCTTTATGCATCTTTAAAAAAAAATTGGAGGTAACTATCTCACGGTGATTCAATACAAAATAAAAAATTAAAAAATTAAAAATTTTGAGATCTCTGCAGAAAACAGCTTAACTTCCCTTTAAAATATCTAAATGGGGACCAGTGTGATACAGCTGGTTGGCATTTGCCTTATATGCAGCTGACCCGGGTTCAATCCTCAGCATCCCATAAAATTCCCCAAGCACCACTGGGAATAACCCTGATCTTCAAAAGATGTTACTCAACACAACAACAACAAACCTTTAAATGTGGGGGCTGGAGTGATAGCACAGAGGGTAGGGCGTTTGCCTTGCACGCAGCCGACCCAGGTTCGATTCCCAGCATCCCATAGGGTCCCTTGAGCACGGCCAGGAGTAGTTCCTGAGTGCATGAACCAGGAGTAACCCCTGAGCATCGCCAGGTGTGACCCAAAAAAAAGTGTATATCCCTTCCCTGTCATATATTGCTTTGTTCTAAAAATGCTTGAATTTCGTCATGAAGGTTTGACCAAATAGAGGAAATATGACAGATTTTTATGACATATCAGACATATGTCATTTTTATGACATATCAGATCTTCTCAAGTCAAGTAGTTGCAAACAGGCTGTGAGGGACTGGAGAGGTAGTACAATGGATAAAGTCCTTGCCCTGCATGTGGCTGGCCTGAGTTGGATCAGGGCATCCCATATTGTCCTCCAGGGGTGATTCCTGTGTGCAGACCCAAGAGTAACCCGTGAGCACTTCCAGGCGTATCCTAAAAACAAAACAAAAAAAGGACTGTGAATCAAATTCTACTGGAAGGCAACAAAATTCTGGATTTTATATTTTGTCCTAGTGTATTATCTAAAGAAATGTGTTGCTTTTAATTTATCAGTTGTTTGACCTCTTTTTTTTTTTCTTTTCGATGCTCAGGTTCCTCCTGGCTCTGCACTCAGGAATTACTCCTGGTGGTGCTCAGGGGACCATGTGGGATGCCAGGGATCAAACCTGGGTTGGCCTCATACAAGGCAGACGCCCTACCCAATAGACGTGCTATTGTTCTGGCCCCTCTTTTTTTTTTTTTAACCTGTCTTTTAATTAGAGATTTGTTTTAAGTTTTCAGTTCAAAAAGCGACATTTTTGGGGGGCGGAAGGGCTCTGAAACTGTGCTCAGGGCATCTGGAGGCTCCTCCTGGTAGATTTTTACCAAACAGGCTGGAAGAAATGACTATTTTTTCACTGAGGAGTGACACCAGTGGTGATAGGGGCTCACTCCTGACTTTTGTTTTAGGGGTCATTCCAAGTGGTGCTTGGGACCCCCAGTGAAAAAATACGGTGCTGGGGATCACGCTGGGGTCAGCAGCATGCCTTTGTCTCTTCACTGTCTCTCTATCCCCTTTTCTGTTTTTCTGAAAAAAATTGGGTTTTTTTGAGGGGGAGGGGCACACCTGGGGATACTCAAGCTTACACCTGACTGCATTCGAATAACCACTAGCGGTGATCCAGAGATCATCTATGGTGCTGGGGATTGAACCTGGTCCAAAATATATTCTTTCTCCAGTCCCTGGAAATATTTTTAAATGGATAGATAGATCATTATTATTGTTATTAAATATTTTTAACGTAAGGTTCACCTTAAACTGAGAAAGCAATAATGATGAAAATAAAATAGAGCATGAGACTGAGGGAGAGATTTAATTTTTTAATATTTAAGAGAGAGAGAGCTGTCTTCCTCTCGTTGGTGAAAAATGACAAAACAAAAGCCTATAGAAATTGAAAGGAAACAGGAAATCATAGTTACTATCAGATTTGAGCATATAAGAAGCCATGAAAATTCTGTTGTTTCTTAATTTTTTTCCCCAACTTGTTTTTGCCTTAAAAAAAAATCTGGTTCTAGAAAGTCATGATTTTTATCGTAGTAAGGATAAAATTTTATCCAAGAAAGGATAAAAGTAAGTATAAATTGGAAGCCACGCATTGTGAGTTTGCAAAAATCATGTTAAATGTTTGGCTTGGAGATCATTCCAGAATTTATCTAATCACATCCTGTGCCGGAATTGCTCTGTTCCTCAACCAGACCCCTTTCCCTCTTCTAGAGAGAAAGGTGGGAAAACTTAACTGCAAATAATAGGATAAAGGCGAATGCCTTTCTGTCCTGTTCAGTCTTCTCTTCTAGTCCTTGTGGTTTACCTGCGGGTTGAAAATAATGTTAGAGGGCCTTGTTGAAATAAAATTCTCATTTCATGATTTTATTAGGAAAATGGGTTCTGGGACCGGGAAGCAAATCATCTCCAGCATAGTAGTTGTTAGGGACTTTTCTGGAGATGAATTGCTTTTCAGAAGTGCTCTGAGTTTTAGCCAGAATGGCTGTGGCCTTTGCATTTACTTTTATTTATTTATTTGCACTATGTTGTAGTTGCAGAAAGTGCTTAAAAAACACTGTATTTAAAACAAACAAACCAGAACACTCCCTCCTCCTTGTCCTGGGGCTTTGAGAAGAAGAAAGCTCTCATTTTCCCAGCACCCAATCATCAGCTTGAGTCGGTCCCTCCAAGGAACAGAATTTATTGAAGCAATTTATCCAGGCTAAATGTGATATAAATCTGTGTGCACCTACGTACATCCAGACTCTTCCATTACGGCCGTGCTGCGGCATCAGTTTCCTTCGTGGTGAGATCTGTGCCTATCATGCTGAAGACGATTAAGAAGCCCTTTCTGTTTTGTGAGGCACCCCCCAATTGATTGATTTCGTTGGGGTCTGGAGCCTGCTTCCATCCCGCGGTGCTCAGGGCTGACTTCTGGCGGGCGTAGGGGAGCACGTCGGGCGCGAGGGATCGAACGCGGGCCAGCTGTGTGCAGTGGAAGAGCTGTGCTGTCTCTCTGTCTCTCTGGCCCCACACCCCACAGCTTGGAGTACTCACCAGTTGTGGGAATGCCGGTTTCTGATCCCTAGTAAGTCTTAGAGAGCAGGAAAGCTGTTCCCTGCCTATCGGATTTAGCCTGCACTTTAAATTGTATTTTAACGTAGACCCAACTGAGATCACACTGACATTTTGGTTTATCTCCAGGAGAAAATTTGAAGTTCGGTTACAGTTTTGGGAGGTCGTGTCTACGCAGATTCAAGTGAGAGTTCTTCCCGTTTCGCTTTCCCTTCTTCCTGCTCTTTCCCTGTCCCTTTCTTGTCAGGGGATGTTGAAGATGCCCTTGAGGGATTTAGTCTGTGAAGTCTCTGGGTCTCCCTCCTCCCCTTTTTTCACTCTCAGCCTTTCAAAATACTGTCTGCGTATTATGTGTGTTTCTCTGCCATCCGCCTCCACTTCTGTTTTCACTCCTAATTGAGATATGACCCGTTCGTGGTGGGGCTTCTGCCCTTTGACAGAGAACTTCAGTCTGCGTTTCGGGAGTTCAGCTTCAGTAATTAAAGCAACAACAGCCGTACAGACGCCGCCGAGTTCTTCAGGGGCAAGGAGGGGCTGGATGGCGATGCCGCTCGGGCCGTTCCTTGCTTCCCTGCAGCAGCCCACATCTGTTGGCCGCAGCGGGGCGGCCCGGGCACTGTGGCCGAGAGCGGCACGAACAGCCGGAACATATTCCCCCAGCAAGCCCCCAAAGAGTCGACATTTGTTTTATTGCTGCTTTTAAAAACCGAGCCATAAATAGAATCAGAGGGGGAAGGGCCCCGATATTTCTCCATTTGCCACAGATGATTGGTGGGGGGAGGAGGAGGCGCCCGTGGGGAGAGGAGGTCTTGCTTTTTATTTTTTTATTAATGAAAATCATTTCCCGTGCAGCCCAATCGGATGGGTGCTTTGTTTTCTTTGGCAATAATCCGCGATAAACGGCCCTTGCCAGCAGTCTCGTAGTTTATACTCCGGGGAGCCAGATTATGGCCTTGTAAAATGGAGCACCCCTCCTATAATCCCTTAATTAATTAAATGACAAATTTTGGTCTTCTCAGTTCAGAAATACGGCTTCCGCATCGAGCGTTCCGTGAATTTATTGACACGGGGAACTACCCTGGTTGTAATTCAGGCCGGAGAAGTGCGTGGTATATTGTAGCAGAAGGGGGAAGTCTCGCAAAAGGCCTGAAATTCCTCGAGTAGTTGAGCCCCACGTTTTCCAATTAAAAGTTTCAGAGGAGGGGCAGCAGATCGCATGGCACCTGTCTCTTGGGTCTCCCCAGAGCAGCCCGCGTCTGTGGCCTTGATAGATGGCATTCTCGGAACACCTGTTTCTAGGCTTGATATTTTGGAAGCCCTTTTTTTCACTGCAGCGTATCTAACATAACTTTCCCCCTGCCTCCCCCTCCTCAGCTCCGCTCCGCTCTATGAAATATGGGAGACGACAGACCGTTTGTGTGCAATGCCCCGGGCTGTGGACAGGTACGTTTACAATATACTTTATTGTGAATGTCTTGTTGTGAATCAAAGTGGCTGTTTTATCACTGAGGCAAAGAGTTTAAAGCCGGTATTTTACGTGATCACTGGAGGTAATCAGATCAGAGGATTTGCAGTGTGTAAATCCAAGTTATGAGGAAGCGCAGGCACTCTGCCGTAATGAAATCTGCCTTGCCCGCTCTCATGTTGTTATTCCATTGGTGCTTGTTGCCCAGCACAGTGTTGAGGAATCCGTGTTGCTCTCTTCTCCTCTCTCAAGCTGTCCAGCTAAATACGAAGCAAGTTTAAAAATACCTTTTCCTAAACCTTCATGGCTATACAAATCTGCTTAACGTATTTGGATAGGCAGCTGGGAGAGAATGTCCCCATTTCTGTAAACTCCAGTTTGCTACAGTCTCTTTCAATTTTTCAAGTTAAAAAAAAGGGGGGAGTGCTTTTGACTATTGGTTTTGGAAATTATTGTCAACAGCTAAGGCATATAATCTAGCTAGGAAATGGAGATCTTACACAAATCCCCAAATCTCAGTATATACATTTGAAGATTCCTCAGTTGTTTTTCTGGTGATGCCATGAGGTGGAGGTGCCTTGTTCTGTGGGGGCTCCCATGTTATTGTTTGCATGGCTGTATATTCTGTTCAGATTATTTTTTAATTGTACACTTTTTAAAATAAAGGAATTTTCTTGGAACCGCCTTTCTTTTTCTTTTTTCTTCCATTTTACACTTCCTTAATCCTTCTTCCTAGACCCTCCTTGCTACCATATTCCACAAAGGATGAAGACAGGAATACAAAGAAAGTTTTGTCTGACTGCATTAATTCATTTTATGGAGCCTGGGTGGTTGAATTTCTGTTCAGTTAGGAATATGTCATGTGACTGTCCAGTGACACTTACTGGTGGTATGTGAGATTGCAGACTCGTTATACGAAACATTTTAAACACCTAGCTGAAAGAAGAGAACTAAGTTCCAGAGATCCCTAAAAATTGGAATTTAAGAGGCGAATGAAGTGGGGGCGGTGACAAGGAATGAACAAAACAGCAGATCCAGCAACTGCTGCAAATTTCAGAAAGTGCTGAAAAGGCCACTGTATTCGGAAGTGTTCAGCATCATGGAGTAGCTCTCCTTACTTGTCAACGTTTTTGAGTCTGTGGTTGACGACATGTTTCCCCCATATTCTTTATTTTGATTTATTTTCTTTTATCTCATGTTTTTTGGACCACACCCGGCCGTGCCAAGGGCTGACTCCTCGCTCTGCACTCACAGATCGCTCATGGCAGGCGTGGGGGACCTTCGGGGTGCTGGGGCTCGACCCAGGGCATCTGCATGCAAGACAAACGCCCCACCTGCGTATTGTCTCTCCAGCCCCTTCGTTTTATTGATTTTTTGCAGTTTAAGTTAGCTGACAGATAGGGGACGTTTGTTTCATTTTTAATCTGATTCCTCCAAATATTTCTTTAGAATAGTATTTCCTGTGTTCTTTTGATTGATAGCCGATATCAGTTATAACTTCTCTTTTTCAGAAGAATAGTTTTATTGAAATTTATGCATTCCCAGAAGGATCTATGTTTGATGGGATTTTTAAAAATGTTCTTTTCTTTCTTTCTTTTTTTTCAGTTAGAGATAGCAAAACAGTAGGGACTTTTACTTTGGTTCCTGGTTAAACTGTTAGATTTTTTTACGAGACTTTTCTGTTCCCTATTTCGTCCTTTCTTTTATCTCTATTTCTCCTATTTCTTTTCTCTCTCTCTCTCTTCCTCTCTGTCTCGTCTCTTTGTGTCTCTGTCTGTCTGTCTCTCTCTTAGGCGGGGTTGCGGGGGGATCTGGATATGAAGCCCGGGCCTCATGACAGCATTCCTGGCCAGTTTCTCACTTTATTTCCAACTCACACTCGTGCGTCTGAGGCATGTCCTGTACCACTGAGCTACACCCCCACCCTCACTTGCTCTCATTTCTGAACTGCTGGTTGGTGCTTGCGCTTAGGTTCATCATAACTCTGGTCTGGGTGCTGGAGTTTCCTCCCATTCAGTGAATGTAGAACTCAGAAACAGTGCTACCAGTTCTTAGCCAGGGCCTGGGGGATGGCCTGGTTGGAGCCACACCTAGCTGGACTCCAGGTGTACTCTTGACTCTGGCCTCACGGGATTACATATAGTGGAAGAATCAAACCCAGGCTAGGCATATGCATGAGAGATTCTGACCTACTGTCGTATCTCTCCAGTCCCACCGTTGCCATCTTTAAATTTTGGATTCAGCTTCCTTATTTCATAGGGAAAAAATGTAGAAAGCTATAAAAATATAAAAAATATAGGAAACTTCAAGCTTGGAAGGTAGCATGATTTCATCCTCTCATCTGCTTTGCATGTCAGAACTTCTTGGAAGGTGGTTTTAGTTCTTTAAAAGTTTTGAACCCAAGAAAACGTGAGTCTCCTGCCCCCGCGCCTGGCTGTCCTCACCGGGGCCCTTGGAGGGGGGCGGGTTGAGTTTGCCTCCCCGCCCCGAGCAGAGCCCCGGCAGCCGAAGACCTCCAGAACCAGCCACCACCATGCTGAGACCACTCTCCACACGCATGAAGGAACCGGCAGAGGAACACAGGCATCTTATTATCTCATTCCTACTTTGGACAACCTGGCAGGCTACCGAATGTCACCTGCCCACACCGCAGAGTCTGGCAAACTCCCCGTGGCGTACCCACTATCCCAAATACCAGTAACAATGATGGGTCTCATCCTCCTAACCCCGAAAGAGCCTTGAACATGGCACTTTTTAAAATTCTCAGGGCTAGGACGAAGGAGACGTTACTGGGGCCTGCTTGAGGCAATCGATGAACAACAGGATGATTGTGATCGTGATCGTGAAGAAAACGTGAATCGAACGCAGGTCTTAGGCATGCAAAGCAAGCACTCTACTACTTAGCCATATCCCCTGCCCCATTCAAATTCTTTATTCCAGAAATGGAAGAAAAATTAAAAGGCTATATAAGTCCCAGGAGGAGTAATAAGGACCATTATGATTTTACAAGGCATGGTTTAAGTGCTTGCTTCTTCCTTGTATCTCTGGAAGTATCACATTCAAATGACTTTTACTAATTATGGAAAAAGGAATTAAAGCAATTTATAAGTCAGTATCTTGATCCTTAAAAGAAAAAACAACCAGCAATTATTGGAACCTGGAATCATTTGAATGTCTGTTTCCTTGGGGGAGGTTGGTCCACACTGAGTGGTACTTGGTAGCTACTCTTGGTTCAGTCCTGGGGCTGAGGGATTCACTTCTCCTGGTGCTCAGGGCATGTGCCGGGGACTGAACAGGGCCGACCTTGTGCAAGGCTTGTGCCTTAGCCCCTCTGCTGTCTAGTCCTTAATGTCTAGATCTTTCCCAGACTTTACCCTGTGTACCCACCTCAAGCTGAGAAGTTACCTTATGCCTTAATATGAAGGAAAGGCTAAAGGAAAATTCACCTAAAATAGACTGGTGGATTATGCTCTCCACCATATAATCAAAACCACTGGGCTTTCAGTGGATACGTAAACATGTTTTGGTTGCTAGGTCTTTAATAGCTGTTATTTTTGGATTTTGTTCATGATCCACTTCCCAACAGTAGGTCTGATGTTACACAGCTGAATTCTAAATATGCTGCATGTATGTTTTAAAAAAAAAAAAAGGAAAGAAAGAATCCAAGGATGCTGAAGGTTATGTTCTCTGCACTGTTATCTGGAGACAGGTGATGGGGTTTTTTGAACCCTCTCATCCTGTCCTCCTGTTGAAACTGTTTCTTTTGAGGCCTTATCCCCCTCACGAAGGAGAACTCAGAGAAAGCAGTATACTTGCCAACACCACTCTATGGAATTTGGTGGGAGGAGTAGTCAATGGAGTTGCCTCCAGAGAATGGACTAGTGTTGTTAAGGCAACAGTGTCCCAGGTACCCTGCAGCAAAGGGCCAGTTATGTTTGAGTTGAATGGGGCCTGGAGTGATAGCACAGTGGGTAGGGCGTTTGCCTTGCACGCGGCCGACCCGGGTTCGATTCCCAGCATCCCATAGGGTCCCCCGAGCACCGCCAGGAGTAACTCCTGAGTGCAGAGCCAGGAGTAACCCCTGTGCATCGCCAGGTGTGACCTGAAAAGCAAAAAAGAAAAAAAAAAGTTTGAGTTGTATGGATTTTGAAATGTTTATAAAATAGCATCGATTTTAAAGCATTATGATTTGCACTGCAGCTCAGTGACAGAGTGCATGCTTCAGATATATTTGTGGGCTCTCAAGCAGTGGTCGGGGGGTGTTGGTGACTATTGCTGATAATATTTGGCCCAACTGTGCCAAGTTCGGTGCTCTGGACCAGCAGAACTGGAGGCTGTCGGTATCATATAGGTGATGCGGGATGTTATCCTGTTGGGGGATGGGGTGGGAAGGGCAGGGGGCTACGTACTGCGAGAGATTAAATTCGGGACCAGGGGCAAGCAAGACCTGTGCTCTGGCCCTTTGAACTAGCTCCCCTATCTTCTCCTCAACTTTTTTTAATTAAAGAAAATAGATGATTTGCCAAGGTGTCAAAAATCAGGTGGGCTGGTCACGTAATGAGATTTAAAGACGACCGCTGGACTAGAGCTGTTACCGACTGGATTCCACGGGATGTCAAAAGACCGCGTGGCCGCCCACCTACCAGATAGTCAGACTTCTTCATCAAGATCATGAACGATCAGTTTGAGGCTCTATGTGTTCCTAGAGCGAACAGACGCCACTGAGCTACACTAGCACGCGACAGGGACGAATGGAGACGTTACTGGCGCCCACTCGAGCAAATCGCCGATTAACGGGAAGTCAAGTGATCAAGTGATCAAGATGATTTGGGCCCGAGTGCTAGTACAGCTGGTAGGGTGCTCGCCTTCAACATGGCTGGCCTGGGTTCCATCCTTGGCACCCCTTATGGTTCTTCAAGTTCCACCAGGAGTGATGCCTCAGTGCAGGCCCAGGAATAAATCCCGAGTACTGCTGGGT